GAGAGGGGGATAAATGTACAGCTCAATTAAAAAAAAAAAAAAAAAGGCAAAAGTAAAAAAGAAAGCCCACTAACAGCCCATGGGAGTATATCTTAAATAATCTGTTTTGGGGTAATAACTAATCTCATCAAATAAAAGCAGTGGCCAGATTGAATGCAGTGTAAAACATTTGTGGTAAACAAAGCCTGTCCTGAAACAAACAGGTTCACCTGCATTTTGAGGATGGAAAACAGAGTGCTGAAGACATCAGGGGAAGACAGTGGCCCGGGGGTCCTCTAGGAGCTCTTCCATAGCTCCACTCCTATTCCAAGATATGGGGGTGGGGTGTTGTATTTATTATTTTATGGCTATGAGTGTTTTTGCCTAGATGTATGTCTATGCACTAAATGAGTGCCTGGTGCCCTTGGAGGCCAGAAGAGGCAGCCAGATTCCCTGAAACTGGAGTAACAGACAGTTGTGAGCCACCATGTGGGGCTAGAAATGGAACCCAGGTCCTCTGGTAGAGCAGGTAGTGCTCTTAAGCACTGAGCCATCTCTCCAGGTCCATTTCCTCCTTCTTTTACACAATCAACAGTTCCCACTAGTATACAAGTCACATGGGTTGCAACAGCCACCATCACAGAACGTTCTCAAACTCCCTATATCCAAGGATCTAAAGAAGAGTAAATGTCCAGGAGGGGAGCAGTGTGAGGGGGAAGCTGAGGAATAAAACCAGAAATGGCAAGGACTGAAGAGACTTCCAGCAGGAGGAGAGCAGAAGCCAACAAGATGTTGTATTAGATACACCACCATCTCAGTACTGTTGGGATCCATGATGAGTGTCTAAGACACAATGCCACACAAATCAGGTACGCAGCAAAGAAATCAGTAAAGTCCTGGGATAGGAAAAGCTGGTTATCAGCAAACCCTAGGGCTTTATAGATCAGTTAATCACACACACACACACACACACACACACACACACACACACACACACACACGCATGCCTTACGGGTGATGCTCTGCTCAGTACCAAGTGAAGAAAGCATGTCTCATTCTTGACAACCACATTTTACAATGCAAAGCTGTATCAACTGTAATTTCTTCTATGTGTAGTTTTTGTTTTAATTAAAACTAGACCTTTCTCTTATCTTCAAGAAAATTTCTAGTTGGTTTTGATTTTAAACATGTTTTACTATTGACTACCATTTAGTTTGTGAACCGGACTGGCACTTATCACAACTGACAGCTATTGAAACTCTACTCTGGGACTAATACTTACCCTTAGATGGCTATATTTTCAAAAGTACCACACAATTAAAAGTATTGTTTATTTAAAAGCTGATGTTAGGACACTTAAAATGGTTTGGAGGCTGAACCATTTCACCCACCAAGCCTAATTCAATCCCTAGAACACACAGGGTGGAAGGATAGATCAGACACTCAAAATTGTCCTCAGAGCCAGGAGTAATGGCACACACCTTTAATCCCTGCAGAGGCAGGTGGATCTCTGTGAGTTTGAGGACAGCCTGGTCTGCACAGTGAGTTCCAGGATAGCCAAGGCAACACAGAGAAACCCTGTCTCAGAGAGAGAGAGAGAGAAAGACAGAGACAGAGAGAGAGAAAAGAAAAGAAGTTGTCCTCAGATCTCTACATATCATGCACCTGGCACACATACACACACTAATAAATAAATGTATGCCAATAAATGTATTAGAAACTGATTTAAGGTAAATTACTAAGAATAACAGTCAAAAAGATGAATTATCTACCCAAATTTCTAAACCAAGACGCTGAGCTGCTCAAGAAAATAAAATTAACAAAAGACTGGGGGAAAAAAATCAAAATCCAAAACCAAACAAAAGGAAACACATTCGAATGATAGTCCTAATGTCCTTCTGCCAATCATCCCTCACCATCCATGTAAACTATTTTAAGGATCTGAATCCTGCTCTATAAAAAGCAAATTCCCACTGTCTGTGTTATACTTCAGAGAGTCTATCACAGTTGTTACTGAGGCAAGCAAACTAAGCTTTAGATTTTTGCTTGTTATCAATACAAACAGAAATGTGGGGGCGGGGGCAGTGAGGTGGCTCAGCCAGTAAAGGCTGCCAAGCCTGAGGATCAGAGGGACCCACATAGTAGAAGAAAATCTATTTCCACAAGTTGTCCTTTGACCACTGCATGCCTGCTGTGTTTAACACACTCACACATATGCAAATAAATAAATACATGTAAAAAAATTAAAAACTTAGAGGCTGGCTAGGATGTAGCTCATTAACAGAGAGGGTCTAGTACACACAAGACCCTGGGATCAATTCCCAGCACTGTAAATTAAACTCTAAAGATCTAAACCAGTTACTGTTCTGGTTTGTCTTTTGTTGTAACAAACACACTGACCAACTTAGGGGAGGAAAGGGTATATTTGGCTTGCATCTCCAGGTCACAATCCTTTATTGAAAACAAGGCAGGAACTAAAGCAGGAACTCCCAGCATAACGCAGGACAACCACTGGTTACTAACTTGCTCTCTCATTTGCTCAGCTAGCTTTCTTTTTCTTTTTTAATATTTAAAACTTTATTTAAAAAAAAAAACCTTCACTACAGTTTTAAAGTTTGAAAAGGCTCTTTTTAAAATCATAACCTCAAAAAGTTAATAAACATATACAGAAGAGCAAGCTCATTTTAAAACTTTGAAAGATTAAAAGCTGTATCTATAGGCATTCATCCAACTTTGAAGGGGTGGTGCCATACTGAGGCAGCTGGTATCAAGGCTGCCTCAATCACCCAAATTTACAGCTTCATTCCTCCACTTAGGCCAGAAGAAAAAAAAAGTCCAACAAAGGAGCAAGTGTTCCTAACTAACATCATGGTCAGATCCCCAAAGTCTGCACTGGAAATGATGCTGCATCTTTCATTCACTGTTTCCCTCACATGCACTTCTAAATTCTCTACTTTGGGGGTGGGGAGGTGGTAAAGGGTGAATCCAGATTGTCTTCAAACAGAGCATGATATTGGGACATAACCTCTGCTATTTAAAATCACTGATTCATATGAAAGCGTACCATGGAATAAATGTGTCCCAAATCCATAAAAAGGTAAGAATAAGTAAACTCAAAGTCAGTTATGCATCTGCTCACAGAGCAGCCTGTCCCTAGCTACAACTCATAAAACTGGGGTAGCATCTTGCCAGGTAAGGTGTTCCTCTAATTTTGACATCAAGCCAGAATTCAGAAGTCTACAAACAAATTTTCATTAACATAAATTGGCACACAGAGCACAAAGAGTCCTCAAAGGAAGACGGAGAGTTTCGTGGCCTCAGATCAAAAAGCAAGAGAAAACAGAAAACAGACTACCTCAGCTAGCTTGCTTATACAGCCCAGATCTACCTGCCTAGGAACGGTGCCGCCCACAGTGGGCTGGACACACCCACATCAACCACCAATCAAGGCAATCTCTTACAGACATGGCCACAGGCCAATCTGATCTGAGAAATTCCTGGGTCATGGCTCCCTCTTCCCCGGTGAAAGGAGGTTGTGTCAAGTTGACGTTGACAATAAAAACTAGCAGTTACATGTTACCCATATTAAACAATGACGTACAAAAACTGAAATTTGAGTACTGCTACAAGGGTGCAATTAACCAACTTTACAGGGATGAATGAACAAATATCTCATTAAAATTTAAATCTTTCTTAACAAGTAAAAAAGATAAATAATATTCAGTTGTCTGGGCGCTGTGTTATTTTCCCTATCTCTATGTCTCTGCATCAATGTTACTATTCTTGCTCCATGGATGAGCAACCGTACCCCTCTGTTTTGGGTCCCTCATATAAGAGTTCATAAATGTCATGAATAACAGTAAAAATAATAATTTCTAAGGCCAGAATTGATACTAGCCCGTGGCACCTGAATCTGGTGCAAGGGACAGGGTAGCATGCAACTCAACTGCATCGCTCCTGACTCTCCCCGCATCACTGCCTCCCAAAGGACTAGAGCATCCAAAGCGCTCATTGCCACATCACAAATTAAAGTATCAGGTTTAAAGAACTCACAGGTTCCACCATTAGGTCAGCGTTTCATGAACGAATCCCCCAACAGAAATCTTCTCGGATGCGACACAACATGCTTTAAGGCTCCACCTAATTATTCTTTTAATTTAAGAAATAAACACAACTATTTTTAAAATCTATAGATATATTATGTAATGAGTTTGACTTTGGAAAACCCCGCACTCATCCAAGCCGCTCATAAAATGGAAAGCAAATTCAATCTGCTCCATTGTACCCAACCAGACTAACGTGCAAGATCACACACTCATCTTCGTCAGAGCGGCTCTGCCAATACCAAAGAACAACAAAGGCAAGTTGAGGAGGCTGCACAGGCTTAACTCAGCACTTGTCGGCTCTCCATATCTTCGCAAAGACCCTCGCAGAGGGGGCCCTCCTGGGGACCAAGGGGACCTTCTGCATCCCGCTGGGCCCCGGCTGCTCCGCTTTTGTCTGGCCCAGACTGGGAGCCCCGGCCGCCCGGCCTGCCTCCCCGACAATCCTTCTTCCCTCTGAATCTTTCTCCACACCCATCACTCGCCGATGACTAGTTGGAGTGGGGTTTCTTCTCCTGGAGCCCCTTCCCGCTCTGTGCAATATCGGGTTCTTTCAAAGAGACCCCGGACTGCTTTGGCGTCTCCCAAGCCGGCCAGGGGAGACTCCGGGTCAAGAAGGGGCCCCGGGGTGGGGTCTGAAAGAGACAGGCACACAAAGCCAGGCTTGACCCCACAGCCGCCCCACCTCCCCTCCGCAAAGCAGCCGGCGATCAGGATTGGACCTGGAGCCGCGCATCATGGGTTCTCACCCCGATCCCATCCCAGGGCCGCCCCCTCCCCCAAAGTGCACCCCAGAGCGGCTGACAGCGCCGGACACCGTCCCCACCCGGACCCTGCGCCCGCCGCCGCCCGGAAAGGGAGTAGGGGCCTCGGGTGGACTCCAGTCTCAACATTCTTCGTTTTTAACCCGGTACTTACAGCTCTATTATTCACTACTGTTGGGGCTGCGGACCGGACAGCCGCCGCCTTCTCCTCCACCCCAATGAGGTTAAGTGCTTGGTGCGGGGATTAAAAAAAAAAAAAAAAAAAAAAAAAAAGTGAGAAGCCAATTGCGCCTGCGCAGTGCGGCCTCACTGTGTTCCTTACCGCCACCAGCTCAGCTGAACCATAGAGACTGCAAACTCAGCCCAGAGAGGTGGCTTCCTCTCTATGGTAACGCCCGGTGCACGGGCCGCGCCGGACTCCTTTGCCCCGCTAGGGGGATGTTGATTTACCCTAATAGCGACCCGTAGCATAAAGGTGCTTTAATGAAAAAGGTGACCAAAGAGTATTTAGGCCCCTTGGGGAGTGGAAGCAAAACTCGAACAAAACAAGGGAAAGGCTATGTGATAAAAGAACTAGAAAGGAGTCAGGAGAGTGTGGACAAGTTTTCCAGGCGGAACTTCCTTTGATCGTCGGCGTTTCTGATAGTGAAGCAAACAGTCTTTCACTTCTGGGTTATGGGTACCCGCTATTCATGGGACGATTGCGGTGAAGGAAATTGACCCCCACGATTTCCCGTAGCTGGCGTGCGTTCCAGATCTCTTTTCTGAGCATGCGGACAAACGCCGCTACCGGAAGCACAGCTTTTAAACCGTTGTACGCGCTTTGGCGAACCAAGCCGCAAGTTGGAGGCTTTGGCTGTACCGGCGAGCTAGTATCAGTTTCTCTCCTAAGTTTCTTCGCAGCAGTGCTGCCTCGCCCTCCCGCGTGGTCCTCAAGGTGTAGGTGAAGTGGTTTGGGTTATGCAAATTACAGCGTTGCCTTCGAGGAGCTCAAGGACGCCCAGTTTTGCCGCCCTACGCCCGTGTGCTCCCCAACAATTTGGCTTTGAAAGCTTTTGTATTGAAGTTGTACACTGGTGAAAATCACTGTTAAAGTGTCGATTGGCTTCCTCCATCGCGATTGGGTGTTTACGGGAACTCTTCTGGGCAGGAATGTGTATGTATTTATTGGGAGATGTGCGGTAATGCCGTCTGGTCCTCAGGACTAGGGTGTTAGACTGGGAAGACAAGCTAAAACAATGAAGCCAAGTGCAGACCCTCTGTGGTGTAGAAAGGGTAAAGGACTATTTCTAAAGAGTAGGATTCGCATGCAGGATGGGACTCATGGTTAGATATAGGAAAAGTAGCATCTTTAAGGCAACCAAGTTTATTGAAGAACATTCTAGAAAAGAAACACTGTCGTGTCAAGTGGCAGTGGGTGGTGTGCTGAGAATGTGTGAAGCGTAGTCTGCGGGAAAGGGAAAGAAAAGAGAAAGCGCTAGTAAAGTACCATTAAGTACAACCGGAAGGAATGTTCTAAATGTTTCCTTGACAAAATTAAACATTGTAGCTGGTTTTTTATTGTGTAGTTCAGTGAAGTTACATTGTTGTGTAGCCAGTCTCCAGCTTTCTGTCTCACAAAACAAGCCCGGCTCTGGTTAAATCTGTCAAGTCCCCAAGTTTTTACTTCCGGCTCTGGTCACAACCAGTCTACTTCTAAGAAGACTGAGTGCTTTGAAAGTGGATTCACATTGACTTGTTCTTTGTGGTTGGGTCATGTCATATGGCCTAATAGATCCTAGATTTGTCTGTGCGTCTTGCACCATGTGTCGAGCGTGTCCTCGTTAAAGCGGAATACTATGCCAGTCAGTGTACATATTTACCACCTGGGCTACTTCAGTCATTTGCTATTGTACACAATGTTCTGAACATGGATGTCGTTCTCTCTTTTGGATCCTACTCTTAGGGGCCGAGGAGATGGCTCAAGATAACTCAGTAAAGGCACATGTTTACAAGCCTGATTACCTGAATTCTGTCACACTGCATAATGGAAGGGGAGGACCCACTCCTGCAAGTTACCCTCTCATTTCCACACACTCTGTGGCCCATAAACTCAACACATATTAAATAAATGTGTTTTTTTAAGTCACTTTTAATAAAATAGGAAAATAGGAAACCAAGTGAAGAAATATACACTTGATTCATATTATTACCCATACATTAACTGGAGGTAGTTACATGGTGTGGGGTGGGGATGGGGGATTGTATTGTTTGCAGTGTTAGGGAGGAACAGGGCCTCACACTTGCTAAGCAAGTGCTCTAAGACTGAGCTAGAACCCCCAACCCCAAGATCTGTTTTAAAGTGACTCACCCAGAAGGCCAGGAAGCTAAATTTATACTTTGTTATACAAAGCATGTATGGAAGCCTGTACCTATCCTAGGTATTGTGTGAGTGCTTTCTGTGAATTATCCATGTCATGAAGTTTATCAGAGTAAACCTGAGACAATCGTTACTCATCTCATTTTCTGATGAGATCAAGGTTGTGTTACAGATTGGTTGAAGGGCCCAACAGTCATACATTCCCACTAGCTGTTAGGAAAAAACAGTGCCATAGACCTGGACACTTGAGAGCACTGGCAGGTCACTTCAGAGGGCAAGGATATTGAAAGAAAACATTTACATATATGAGTGGCATTTTTGCAGGGTGGGGACACTGCTGGGCATCAAACTGAGGGCCTCGTGCATGCTAGGCAAATGGTCACCACATTACTCAGGAGAAGTGACAGACAGACACCACAACCTTGCGATTTGTTTGTTTGGTGGGTTTGTTGCTTTTGTTGGTTTTTTTTTTTTTTTTTTTTTTTTTTTTTTTTTTTTTTTTCCTTAAGAGAAGATTTCTCTAAGTGGCCCTGGCTGTCCTGGAGCTCACTCTGTAGTCAAGGCTGACTTCAAACTCAGAAGTCTGCCTGCCTCTGCCTCCCGAGTGCTGCTTTGTTTTGTGTGTGTGTGTGTGTGTGTGTGTGTGCCTATGCTGTGTGTTCAGGTGCCTGTAGACGTCAGAATGAATTGTTGGGTTCCAGGTGGTTGTGAGCTGAAAGATGTGGATGCTGGGAAACAGACCTCAGGTCCTACACTGCAGCAATATGAGCTCTTAACTGGCAAGCCATCTCTCCAGCCCCTTCACTGCCTCATTACTGGTGTGCCTAAAGGCTCAATACAGCAAATTTGCATCCGCTAAATCCCTAGAACAAACCTGGACTTGATTACAGGTCTGCCTCTAACAAATACAAAATGCCAGGCAGAAATAGGCTTTTTAACTTTTGTTAGGTAAGAATACCTTTTTACATCATAAAGAAATTAACTTCTCAGCACTCCATCTTACATTTGTACTTTGAGACCACCTAGCAGGTGAGATCAAGAGCTTTGGAATTCCCACGATGTTTTGGTCCTTTGAGAGATGGGTGTTATACTCAGTGTCTCTATTCACCCTACCCCCCTCTTCCTCAGGAATCTTGGTCTAAATGCCACTGAAACTAATGTTAGAGAAGCAAGGAGACAGAGAATGTAAGTGCATTATAAATAGCTCTTACACACTCAAAACTTCTGTATACAAACTCTGGGTTAAACAGCCACTTAGGGAACCTCCCTGATGGCACTGAGGAAATATTAAGGTAATGAGTAAAATATATGATGTGATAGGAAGGATAAGTATTGGAGGTAGACGTGATGCAGTGAGGCAAAAACAGGAGTGCTTGGGGATGGGAAAGAAGTTTGCTTGAAAACACCATGGTAAGATGAATTTCCAAAAAGAAACCTAAGCCTTTAGTTCCAGGACAGAGAGGCTGGTGGCAGCTCTCTGAATTCTGGGCCAGCCTGGTCTATGTATCAAGGTGAGTTCAGGCCAGCTAGGACCACGTAGTTAGGCCTGGTCTCAAAAAAGAAAAGGAAAGATAGTATCCTCCCTCAATACTATCACACCTAAAAAATTAATTCCAAAGCTGCTGACAAGACTTAGTGGATAAAGTGCGGACCATGCAACCATGAGGACCAAAGTTTGGGTCTCCCAAGTAAATACCAGGTGGGCATGGCAGCCTACTTATAGTCCCAGCACTTCAGAGATGGTGATTACATTTTTGGGAAGGCAGGCTAGCTAGATTACCCTAATTAGTGACCTCTAGGTTCTCAAGAGACCATGTCTCAGTAAATAAAATGAAGTCAAGAAAAACAACAAAGTCTGACCTGGACATACACAAAAGAATTTAGTAATTTCAAAATAACTAGTCTTCCCTCATATCTACAGGGGATTGATTACAGGATACAAACACACACACACATACGGAAATAAAAATGTCCAAACACAGTATCATAGTTAGGGTTTCTATCACAGTGACAAAACACCGTGACCACAAAGCAAGTTGGGGAGAAAAGAGTTTATTAGGCTTACACTTCAGCCTTGCTGTTCATCTCTGAAGCAAGTCAGGACAGGAACTCAAAAGTCAGCATCACAGAGGCAGGAGCCCACTCAAAAGTCAGCATCACAGAGGCAGGAGCAGAGGCCATGGAGGGGAGCTTCTGACTGGCTTGCTTCCCATGACTTGCTCAACCATCTTCTTACAGAAGAACCCAGCACTAGCAGCCCAGGGATGACACTGCCCACCATGGGCTGGGTCCTCCCCCACTGATCACTAAATGAAAAAAATGCCTTACAACTGGATCTCATGGAGGCATTTCCTAAACTTAGGCTCCTTACTCTGATGGCTCTATCTTGTGTCAAGTTGTCACACAAAACCAGCAAGTTCATCCATGTGTATGGTGGCACATGCTTTTAATATCAGCACTGGGGAGGCAGAGGCAGGCAGATCTCTGTGAATTTGAGGCCAGCCTGGGTACAAAGCTACACAGAGAAACCCTGTCTCGAAAAAAATAATAATAATTAGTTTTGAAGTAAATACTCAAGCTCCTCACAAACTCTATAGTGTTTGCATAGAACCCACAAGCAACCTGCATTCTTAAAATCAGCTTCGAGTACTTAAGCCAAGTGCAAGGTAAATGTTATATATAGCAGTCCGGGCAGTTTTTACTGAATATTTTCAGTCATATTTGGTGGAAGTGAAGCCAATTGGTAGAGACTCCAGCATTTAGAAGATGCCAGTAGCATGGGACAACCACTAAGAACAGCAGCAGCTATGGAGTGGAACTGACATGAACCTATGAGATGAGCTATGTGCGCTTCAGAGGATGGAGCTAAAGAAGTGGCCCAAGCCCTTTGGTGGAGCCCAGATGTCTAGTCCTGAACTCTTTATGCACTGGACTCTGTTCTTGCTTGGATTTGATCGTGACTGTATGCTGGTTCTGCCCTCTTGGAATAGGAAAGTATTTTACTTATTTTGAGTATTTACTTATTTAAAGTTTTAGACTACTGGATATTTTAGAGAGGCTTGAACTTTGAAAGAGACTTTGGATGTTTTTTTAAAAGATTTTATTTATTTATTATGTATACAACATTCTTCCTCCATGTATATCTGCACACCAGAGGAGGGCACTCATTACGGATGGCTGTGAGTCACCATGTGGTTGCTGGGAATTGAACTCAGAACCTCTGGAAGAGCAGTCGGTGCTCTTAATTTCTGATCCATCTCTCTGGCCCCCGACTTTGGATGTTTTAAAGAGAATAAATATTTAAAGTGCTTGAATTTTTGAAGACTGGAACTTTTGAACATTGGAGTATTTTGTATTGTGATCTTGAAATTAACATGTGATCTTGGGGATGAACAACAAAGGAAAGTCATGGTTGCTTGCATCTCCAGATGTGGAGTGTATGGATACTGGGACTGTCTCAGGGTTTCTATTGCCTTAATAAAATACCTTGACCAAGAGCAACTTGGGGAAGAAATGGTTTGTTTAATCTTACATACTCAATAGTGTAGAGTTGCAGGGGGCAGTGCACATCTTTAATCCCAGCTGCTGGAAAAAGCCAATGGTTTTTGTTGTTGTTTTTGTTGGTTTTAGTCAGGTGCAGTGGTATACTCTTGTAATCCCAGCACTTTGGAGACAGTGACAGGAACTTAATAGAGCTAGTCACTTCACGCCATGGTCAAGAGCAGAGAAAAATGGCCTGCATATTTACAGAGTGAGTTCCAGGACAGCCAGGGCTGTTACACAGAGAAACTCTGACTTGAAAAACAAACAAGCCATCACTTCCCCCAAAGAATCTCTGCTATATAGTGGGAGGTAATGAAAATATCTATGTAGCAACCTAAGATGTAATGACATGTCACTCTGCTGGAAGATGCTGCAATAAGGACAAGGAACACATGAGAAAATTTTTAACTCTTGCCCACATGTATGTCTGCACACTATATATGTATACCTTTGGAGGCCAGAAGAGAGGTCAGATCCCCTGGAACTGGAGTGACTGTCCCGGAACTTGCTCTTTAGACCAGGCTGGCCTGAAACTCAGAATTCACCCACCTCTGCCTCCCAAGTGCTGGGATTTAAGGCATTTACCACATGACTGATAATTTTCTCTTTTTAAAAATATGTTTACACTGGCTGGTGGTGTGTGCCTTTAATCCAAGCACTTGGAAGCAGAGGCAGGCAGATCTCTGTGAGTTTGAGGCCTGCGTGGGCTATAGAGCTAGTTATAGGACAGCCAGAGCTGTTACACAGAGAAACCCTGTCTCAAAAAACTAAATAAATAAGTAAATAATGGTTACATTTATGGAGCTAGAGAGAAAAGTGCTAGACACCAATTCTGGTGATCTGAACTCAAACCCCAGGACCCACATAATGGAAGGAGAGAACTGGGCCCTGCTAGTTACCCTCTGGCCTCCACTCACTTGCCACAGCACTCGCTACACACACACACACACACACACACACACACACACACACTAAATGAATGTTTGAATTTTCTTTTTAAAAACACATATGTCACATTCTTTGTTTTATTCCACAAACATATTTTAAGAGTTGGCCATGAAGAAGCTAATGGCATATGCCTTTTGTACCATACCCTAACAGGGGGTCATTAAGTAGAAAGATTTCTTTTTCTCCATATGACTCAGTGAGGCAGTTTCTTCCAGTCTAGGTTAGCCTAAATACTTCAGTAATAGCTACTAACATCTAATTATCTAGCCTTATCCTACCCTCCTTCATAATCTAGATTAAAGGCTCAGTAAAAACTACTTTGTACCCAGATAAATTAAAATTCAGGAAGAGTAGTACATATATGTTTCTAATGTCTGCGAAATGCATGGCCCATATGGAGTCTAGGTTTCCATTACTGTCAGAACAGAAAGTATCTTTCCCAAAGAAGTCATGAGCCTGCAGAAATGCCAGCAGAGGTGGGGCATGCCATTGCCAATGATGAAATTCGAGATTGCAAACCAGTTTGCTAAATCACGTTCATAACCACACCCTGGAAAGCCATGACTCTAGTACTTGACTAACCTAGCAAGTACCACCTGCTAAAGAAAACAGTAAGGGTGCCTTTTTCTCAACCAGCAGATCCATTAAACACTTGAGTAATAGTAACCCCAGAGCTAGCAGGCTTGAAAAAAACGCCCCCATTGGTGTCAGTGCACTGAGTATTCTCATTTGGCCTAGGCACTATACCAAAGCCACTTCATCTTTAATGGAGATGACAGCTCTTCTTTCTACACTGCCACAACTAGTGAAACTGGTATTACAGAACCCACATCTTTGTAATAAAGTCATTTAAAAAAAGAGTTCTTTTGGGACTGGAGAAATGGCTCAGCAGTTAAGAGCACTGGCTGCTCTTCCTAGGGCTTGGGTTCAATTCCTACCACCCATATTGCAGCTTATAACTAACTGTCTATGACTCCAGTTCCAGGGGATCTGACACCCTCATATAGACATACATCCAATGTACATTAAATAAAAATAATGATAAAAATTTAAAAAGTTCTTTTGTAAAAAGAATGACAAATTCAGTTGGTTCTACTAGAAATGAAAGCTTTGAGTTCTAGACAAGCACCTTACTCAAGGCTATGCCTGAGTAAGCCCTGAATAAGCCCTTTAAACATTACCTGTTGCCTGGCATGTGGAACACAACTTTCCAGAGGTTTTTAAGTCCATCCTTTTATATCTAGGGAGGACTAAGGACAGTACCAGAAAAGAAACTTGTGGATTCCCTTTTGAATTGCTATCAGTGAAGTCTCTCAGGTCACGCTAGTCAACGACAGTTTACAAATGCCCACCTAGGCAATTGTCCAGCCAATCTGTCTATACTAGTCAGTTTTCTATTACGATAATAAAACACCTGAGGGTAGATATTTATTTTAAGGGGGGCTGGACTGAATAATGTAGCTGCATTGGAAGTCCTGGGTTTGATCAGAGTACAGCATCAATGGGGTATAGAGGTACTGGCCTCTAATATCAGCACTCTTGAAGTAGATGTATAATGAGGAGTTTAAGTCATCTTTAGTTACATAGTGAGTTTGAGGCTAGCCCAGGATACATGAAATTCTGTCTCAAAAATAGGGAGGGAAAGAGAGAGGAGGGAGGGAGGAAGGCAGAAAGAGAGAGAACGCCTTAGTCTGTGTTCTAATGCTGTGAAGAGACACCATGACCACAGCAGCTCTTAGAAAATAAAAGCATTAGCCAGACAAGTTGTGGCGCCCGCCTGTAATCCCAGCACTTGGGAGGCAGTGGCAGGTGGATCTCTGAGAGTTCAAGACCAGTCTGTTCTACAAGAGCTAATTCCAGGACAGCCTCCAAAGCCAGAGAGAAACCCTGTCTTGGGAGAAAAAAGAAAAAGAAAAGCATTTAATTGACACTAGTTTACAGTTCAAAAGTTTAGTCCATTGTCAGCATGGCAGTCCACTGGCAGACATGGTGCTAGAGAATAGCTGAGAGTTAAAGAAAGACACTGGGCCTGGCTTGGGCTTCTGAAACCTCAAAGCCCACTCCCAGTGACACACTTCCTCCAACAAGGCCACAACTCCTAATGCCCCTCCCTAAGCATTCAAACATATGAGCCTATGGGGGCCATTCTTATCCAAACCACTACACATGGGTAGGGGGAGGAAAGAAGAAAGAGATTCATTTAGTTCACAGTTCAGACAGCTGGAAATCCAAGACCAGGTGGCCTCATCTATTCAGCCTCTGGCAGGGTGCGCCCTTGGCTCCATCACATGGAATCACAGTGGGGAGACATGAAGCCAGAAAGCCATCCTCAGGGGTTGAGTTTACTCTATTTTAACAATTCACTTTCAAGAAAACTAATCAGGGTCCCACAAGAAGTGCACAAACCTATTTGTGGAGCAGCCCTGGCCTTTACCTAACCACCTCCCACCAGGCCCTGCCTCTTGAAGGTCCCACCATCTCAGCAATGACACACTGGAGACCAAGCTACCAGGACTCAGATCTCTGGGGAACAAACCCATCCAAACCACACCTGACCTTGCAAATTCAGAGAACCATTTGAGGCATTCAAAACCAAATGAAGGGATCTGTGTTTTCATTTATACATTATCTATAGCTTCCCCTTTACCATAACTTAAGCTGTGCATAACTCAAAAGACATTTTTATATCTAGAGGAAGTGTTTAGGGGGGGTCAAGTTTCTAGACTATACAAGTACTACAGTGGTAGAAAAGTGAGGATGCTATACAAACAACACACAAAGCAAAAAGGCAATGTCCTTAAACAAACAAAATGGGGCTGGCAAAATGGCGCAGTGCATAAAGGTGTTTGCTGTGCAAACCTGACTCCATGGGTTTGAGTTCCAGAACCTACAAAAATGGGGAGATAAATGACCCCACAAAAGCTGTCCTCCTGCCTTCCCACTTGCACCCTGGTGTGCATTCATGTGGGTGCACACTCACAAACGTGCACGAACACACATAGTAATATTAAATGCAAAAAAATTGAACAACAACAAAATGATCACGTGCTGT